AGATTGTACTGTAAAAGTTTATAAAGTTGGTACAGCAAAACTGTGTGTAATGTTTCAATGCCAGTTTACAAAGTTCAGTAATTAATGGATGCTGAAAAGTGGGGAGAGCCTAACTATACATTTTCAATATTGTTTTTTGTTTCTCTCTTTCAAGCCTAACTATGGGACAACTTTACGATAAGGAAAAAGATGAAGATGGATTCTTGTATGTGGCCTACAGTGGAGAGAACACGTTTGGCTTCTGAAGGCCCGTGCTGTACCTGCTTGTGTATCTTGTAAATAGCCGGCCATTTTCAGTTACTATACCACAACCTCTTCACATAGACCTATTAGTGCATTTGTAACTGGATTGATTTCTTAATATATTGGAAGGTTTTTGTTTCCTTAGAATAGTAAGTTATATACAGAGTTTTATTTTGAGTTTTTCTTTTTGTGCACTGTCCTCATGGCTATACTCTCCAGAGAACTCGTTCCTCTAGGAATCATATTTAATGAAGATATTTCCATATTGAAGTGAAGTAGGTGGGGAATTAAAGCGAAAGGGAGGGAGACAATGCATTTTATTCTGGACTATATTTGAAGTGTTAGATGGCTAAGTGTTAAAAGCATTCAAATTAAATCCTTAGCAATCAGAACACTTGCTTTCTAGATTTTGCCAACTGCCAATCATGTTGGACTGAGCTAATCTGTTCCTCTTTCTGAAACTATTAAGGTAAATAATTAACAATAAAACTTCCTGTTACAAAGGCATTGCAGTGTGACCATGTCTTTATTCACCATCTTTTAGATGAGTCAGGCAAGTAGCTCTTATGTCTGCCAGGCCAGGAGGAGGGTTTGTGGGGCCATGGCAGCACAGCTTGGAACAGGAAGCAGTGGCCTGTGTCATAAGAACGGACTTTTTAAAAATATATATTTTTTTACTGATTTCGAGAGGAAGGAGAGGGAGAGGAACAGAAACATCGAGAGAGAGCGTTGATCAGTTGCCTCTTGCATGCCCCCTCCTGTGGGTCGAGCCTGCAACCCAAGCATGTGCCCTTGACGGAACAGAACCCATGATTCCAGTCTGCAGTTCAACGCTCTATCCACTGAGCCAAACCAGCTAGGGCAGAACTTTTTTAAGTGGTTAATGTGATCAGGTGGTTCAGATATCAAGCCTCTATAAAAGGTATACATTGAGAGTTCCCACCACTGTCTACTGCCTATAAGAAACTACTTTTACTGGCTTCCTATTTCTTTTTAGTATTTATTTTTGGAAGTACAATTAAATATAAATACATAACCTTATTTTCTTTTTCTTATAGAAAACATTATATACCTACGTATATTGCTTTTTTTCATTTAACAAAATATCCTGGTGATCTTTCCATATCAATCTACAGCCTTTCATTCATTTTTACAGCAAATAGTATTGCAATATATGGGTATATGATTATTACTTAAGCAGTTCTCTATGAATGGTATTTGGGTTATTTGCAATCTTTTACTGTTAAATACAGTGTTGGAATGCTAACTATATTCATATAGCCTTTATATGTACCTGCACTTATTAAGGTGCTGCTCCTTAATCCCTTCTTTCTAAAAAATGAAGATTTCGATTTTTCATGGTACATGAATTTCATGATTTATTAATAGGAAATGCTTGCTTGCTTCCTAAATCTTCCCCAGACAGATTGTGTTGGAGGCTAGAGCTCTACATAGAGCATTAAAGAAAACATATCACCCAGCGATCTAAGAACATGTAGTTAAAATGGCTGTCAGGCCGAAACCGGTTTGGCTCAGTGGATAGAGCATCAGCCAGTGGACTGAAAGGTCCTGGGTTCGATTCCGGTCAAGGGCATGTACCTTGGTTGTAGGCTTATCCCCAGTAGGGGGTGTGCAGGAGGCAGCCGGTCGATGCTTCTTTCTTATTGATGTTTCTAACTATCTCTCTCTCTTCCTCTCTGTAAAAAATCAATTAAAAATATATATTTTTTAAAAAAATGGCTCTCATATTTATACTAGGGAAGAAACAAAGATCTTTAGCTTCTTTACCAGATTATATAAGCAACCCATCAAAGCTCTCTACTGATGTCAGCTTCCTATTTGGGATCAGAAGAAACATGTTTATTATTTTTTAAAAACTTGATGGAGCTTTATTTTGTTTAGAAGAAACATTCTTGTCATAAGTACTTTGTTGGTTTTTCCCACACCTGATTCAATAAAATATGTGGTCCTCTTTGCTGGTAGTTTCAAATTAGAAACAGACCCACCTCTGAAACAAAAACCAAAAACTGACCTATGATTAAGCCAGGTAAAGGGGAAGGAACAAATTCTGTTACAAGGAATCTTGTTGGCAGTGACATAATGCCCAACAAACTGGCTTAAGCTCTAAAAAGGCAATTTATCATTTTAATTGTCAAGGAATGTTCACTGGCTTTAGGCATAGCGTGAACCAGAGATCAAATGATGACATCAAAACTCTTTTCCATCTCGGTTTTGTTTCCCTCTACATTGACTTCATTCCCAGCAGGTTCCTTCCATGTTATGGCAAGATGGCCCCATAGGCTTGGCAACTCCAGTAGAAGGAAAAGCATTTCTTCTGAGAACAATGTCAAAAGTCTCTGGGAGGATTCTGGCCTTGCTTGAATAACTAAACAGTCCCCTGCTTTAAAGGAGGCACTAGTGGGCAGGAATGGTGCCCTCTTAAACATGTGAACAGAATAGGATGAAACAGACATGGGGGAGGAGAGAGCTTTCCAAAGGCCTTTTGATCTGTTTCTGTTTCACAACCACAAACCCACAAATTCAACTGAGAAGAAACAGAGGAAAGAAAATCAAAATGCAAATGTTACTGAAGCTTACTGTGTTTTTCTTTCAAAAGTGATTTATAGTTAGCATTTATTGAATAATCAACTCTCCCTCCTCTCCCTTCCTCTTTTTCTCCTTTTCTCTCTAAATGAAACACAAACACACAAAAACACAAAACAAAAAACACCCACTTAAAAAAAAACAACACATGTCAGAGGTGGCATAACAAATTAGGGAAATGATGAACCAGTCAACAAATACAAATGGTACTGTTATAATTGGTTATTTATAGAACTTTAGAGGCATTCCCCCATTAAAAACAGGAACTAAAGCCCAGCCTGTTTGCTCAGTGGTTGAGCATCAACCCAGGAACCAAAAGGTTACTGGTTGGATTCTTGGTTGGAGCACATGCCCAGGTTTTCAGCTTGATCCACAGTGAGAGGTGAACAGGATGTGGCCAATTGATATTTCTCTCATCGGTTTCTAGCTCTCCCTCTCACTTCCTCTCTTTCTCTAAAAATGAATAAAAACATTAAAAAAATAATAAAGATGTTGAAAAACAAAGCTAACTAAGCAAGTCTCTGAAGGGTGAAGTTTATGGTATGTGAATTATATCTCATAAACCTGTTAAAAGTTAATCATTGCTTTTACTGAACACAATTCTAACATAAAATCAATATAATAAAAGAAGCATAAAAATCAGAAAGGGAGACTAAATGTACTTATATGCAGACAGTGATAGTCTACATAGAAAAATCCAAGAGAATCTATAAAAAAATAGGACAAAATTCAGCATGGTTGCTGGATACCAGACCAGTTAAACACTGATGATGTTTCTACCTACCAGATGAACCAATTGGGAAAAACAAGATCTCATTATTTTGTTTTTTAAATTGATTTTAGAGAGAAACATCAATTTGTTCCACTTACACATTCATTGGTTAATTCCTGAATGTACCCTGACAGCACTGAACCTGAAGCTCTGGTATATCAGGATGATGCTCCAACCAACTGAGCTACCAGTCCAGGGCCATAGACGTCATTCTTAATAGAAACACCTATAAGCATGTAGGAATATATTTAACATAAGATATGCAAGACCTTCATGGAGAAAATAAAACATTGTTGGACATAAAAAGACCTAAATGAAAGGAGAGATATACTAATATACTACATTCAAGGATGAGAATAATCAGTATTATAAAGATGCATATTGCCCCCAGGTTAATCTGAGTTTAATGCAAGAATCTGACAATTGATGCTAAAATCCATCTAGAAGAGCAAAAGGCTAAGAATAACCAAAATGTGTTAAGATGAGCAGGGGAGACATGTATTTGCAGTAATTAAGACTGTGCCATATGGCATAAGAGATAAATAAACCAAGGAACAAGACAGAAAGAGACACATGTTTAAAATATAATACTGGTGGCATGAAAATCAAAGGGAAATGATGAACTAGTTAATCCATGATTTGATTCTATATTCAGTTATATATATGAAAAAACACACATATATGCCTAAAATAATTTCAAGTTGAATTAAAGATATAAGTGTAGGAAAGCAAAACCTAAAATATCTAGAAAGGCATGCCTTCCTGGGGCAAGCCTATTCAAATCTCCTTTTCTTTTTCCTAAACTCTAAAGCTCTCATGAGACTTGCAACCAGGGAGCAATGGCAGTGGCAGCTGGCCTGGGGTGAACTTGTCTCCATGGCTCCCTTTACTCTGCTTCTAGTGAACTGACAGCCCTGCCTTGGCTCATTTCTTTCCCATAATGTTTCTAGAGAGCCCGCCTTGGCTCTCTCCTGTTGCTTTTATCCTATGCTCTTCCTTGTTTCACTGTCCCCAGCTTTAATAAACCTACTCTCAAAATTATATTTTAAAAAATTAGAATATCTGTGACTTGGAGTAGGAGGGATTTCTTAGACAAGATACAAAAATACAGAAGATCAAGGAAAAGATTGATACACTTAAGTACATTAAAAATCTTAAAATTTTTAATTTTTTTATTTTTTTATTGATTTTTTACAGAGAGGAAGAGAGAGGGATAGAGAGTTAGAAACATCAATGAGAGAGAATCATCGATCAGCTGCCTCTTGCACATCCCCTACCGGGGATGTGCCCGCAACCAATGTACATGCCCCTGACCGGAATCGAACTGGGACCTTTTAGTCCGCAGACCAACGCTCTACCACTGAGCCAAACCGGCTTCGGCAAAATCTTAAAATTTTGAACATATAAAAGGTACTATCGGGGTAGGGGAGGCTGGGGGGGGGGGTCAAGGGGAGAAAGAAGGAGACATATGAACTACTATTTGTAATGCTTCAAACAAGAAAAAAGGAAAAAAGGTACTATAAACAAAATAAATGGAAACCACAGAAAATGTAACAGATATCAACCAAAAAAGAATTAATATCCAGAATAAATAAAGAACTCTTCCAATTAATAAGACAACCCAAGAGAACAATGGGCAAAAGATAACACAAAATCTTTAACTTCACTCAAGGCCACTGTATGTGCTGCACATTGCACCAACCCCATGGTGTGCCTTTCACAAACATTACGACATGAACAGTGCCCACAGAGCTGTGCAGTTACCAAACTCTACACTAAAAGCTACAACTTACACTACCCAGTTGGTGGCTCTGTGAATTGCAGAGGAAAGTAAACTATGGGATATCAATTCACACTCATCAAATTAGCCAAATTAACAGTTTTGACATAGAAAATGACAGGGAGTATGTGAAGCATCTGGATTTCTCATCAACTGCTGCTGTGAGTGTAAACCAGTACCATCACACTGGAGAGCAGTTTGTCAATATCCAGGAAAGTTGAGATCCAGATAGCCCATGTCCTAAGTATATATCTTAGAAATATCCCTACCCATGTATGAGTCATGTATAAGAGTGATCACTGCAGCCTTGTTCGAATGAGCAAAAAATTGGAAATCAACTGTCCATTCATAGGAGAGTGTCCATTAACAGGAGAATGGAGACTTCATATGCAGCACAGTCACACAAAGGAATACTATACAGCAGTTAAGATGAATGACCTTGTGCTACATATGTCAATGTAAATGAAAAAAGCAAGATGCAGAAATATATTCAGCATATCATTTCTATAAAGTTTAACACTTCAAAACAATTATATGTATTGCAAATTTATGTAACAAAAGTATAAACCATGGAATTCAGGATGAAGGTTACCTAATGGAGGGAAAGGAATAGTAGCAGGGAGGGGTAAATGTGGGAGCTATCTTTCTAAAACACAACTTCCATTCCAACACCCTTATCTCAAAATAAATAAATAAATAAATAAATAAATAAACAAATCTCTGAAATGCTGACTCAGGACTAGAACATTTCACCTTCACAGGGTATATAAAGTCCTCCTCAACATGCATCAAGTATCTCTTCAGCCCCTTCCATACTTGCCAGCCCAGCCATGGTGTGATTTCATCTTTGACCTTTGCATATGGTGATTCTTTACCTCCATTATCCTCAAAACTGTCTCCATTTGTACCACCATTTCCCTTTACTTGCCTAATCCTTCCCCTTCACCTCTGTGCTCAAGTATATCTGGGCCCCTTCTCCCAGGTTGGGTATTTGACTTTAGAGGACATTGTACCATCCCACTGCAGAGGCTGTGATCTGTCTTTCCTATTGGTCAATGAATGAACAACAAGAGGATGATCCCCTATTCTTGTACCTCAAGTGCTTAATGCATTGCCTGGAGCTGAGAGTTTACTTAACAAGTGCTAATGCAATCTTAATCCTGCAAGCAGCGCCACATGGAGGGCATGAGGCAGGTTTGTGCACCAGGGCACCAATCCCAAAGGTGGTCCAAGGATCTCCTTCAAGGAGAATATGGAAGAAGGTAATATATCTATGTTCTTATTCTTTTTAAAAATATATTTTATTAATTTTTTACAGAGAGGAAGAGAGAGGGATAGAGAGTTAGAAACATCAATGAGAGAGATTCATCGACCAGCTGCCTCTTGCACACCCCCTACTGGGGATGTACCCACAACCAAGGTACATGCCCTTGACTGGAATCGAACCCAGGACCTTTCAGTCTGCAGGCCGACGCTCTATCCACTGAGCCAAACTGGTTTTGGCTATGTTCTTATTCTTAAAAGACTCTTTATTAGACTGAATGTTAGAACACTTTAAAAAGCACAATTGATTGCCCTTTTCATCTTTTATTTCCTTAGGGAGAAAAAAAGATCCTGGTGGTTGTCATGTGGGAAGCAAAGCCATGAGTTCCATAGGAGGATCTATATATAGCTCTGTGATCAACAGCTTTGCTTCCTTGCCTCCTTAGCAGCTGGAGACAGGCTGTTGCTTCCAGATGTGGGATGGAGAAGGTGCATGCGGGCAAACTTACACATGCCTGGTGTGCAGCAAGAGGCTTCACAAACATGTGCCCAATATGCTTCTCCTGAAGACAATCTCATGTTTACTGGCATAAGCTCTGGAAATTGGGACTAGCAAATTGAAGAGAGTCACTTATGAGCTGAATGACGGACCAAGGTTGGTGTGTGCTATGTGCCAGGCACTGTACACGTGGTGGGCAGCCCTTCTCCTACCTACACTGCTCATGATCTCATTCATCTCATTCCCACAGCCCAACTGCCAGGGGGTAGTGCTGCTCTCATTTCAAAGGTGAGCACACACTCTGATAATGTATTTACCTCCCTAAGATCACACAACCAATTTACACCCTGGAGTACAATTCAGTCTCAGGGCGACCGCCAAAAGCCCCTGCGGCCTTGTTTCTCCAGCTCCTGCTGGTCTTTCAGCCCAGCGGGTCCTGCTGTGCTAGGATGAAGGGCATTCACAATGGCGCTGGGTGAGTGAGGAACAAAAGTACAGCCTAAAAAAACCAGCTGAAAAGGCACTCACTGGAGGTCAGAACAGCCCACGAGCGGCAGGAATAAAAAAGGAAGTTGATGAGATCTTGGAGTGGCTGTTGGAATACACATGAAGAAGAGCTCTTCTTTGAAGTATCAGAACCTAATTCAACAAAAATGGGCACAGTAGATTATGTGCATCTATTGTTGGGCAGAGCTTGGGTTGCCCATGGTATAATTTCTCAAAGATTTCCTGAGAGATCGCACAGCAAGGTCCCGTTGTTGAACTGAAGAAAGATGCTGGGAAAGGGCTGTCGTCAGGTTGGTTTCACCACCCAGGGGCCCACCGGGCCTCTCCCTGCGGAGACAGTGAGGGTTTTAATGTGCTTTTCTTTCTCTTGGCTGCCTGAGCGTACAGCCATCACTGTTTCCATTGTGAGTTCTTCTCCTCTGGAGCCAAGCCCAAGTTCAGGGAACATGTGCTCAAGACACATTTGGCAGCCTAGCTCCCCGCTTGCAGTGACTTTCTGCCTTCGCCTTTCCCCCCATCAAGGCACTTTTCTGCACTCGGAGGTTGAAAAGCAATGCTGAACACACTTAGTTTCTAAAAGCTTGGTTCCTGATCATGCTCGCTCATTGGGGTGAGACACAAAAAGCCCACACCAAATACAGAACCCAGGTTATGGAACTCAGATGAGAATTATTTCCATCCCTTCCTTGTTACAGACATTAATTACTGAGGCCATATGCTTCTCAAAGCATCTATGGGCTCAGTCTCCTGAAGAAAATTTGTCTTGTATTATTTACCCCATTAAGAATTTTTATGAGAAATCCTACCTTACTGCTGAACAAAACTGAGCATCCTACTAGCTGGGACCTTATTTTGTAGAACAGGTCACTGGTTAGAAATCAGAGATTAAATACTTTCCCTACATCTACACAGGTAGCAGCAGAGTTGGTATAAGGACATAATTACTTGAATATCCAGTCCTATAAGGAGAGATCTTACAAGTGTAGAGCTAACTAAAGTTTGAATTTTTTTACACTCAAGATAGTCAGTATTCTTATCAAAACAAATGTTTCCATCATCCTAGAAAGTTCCCTTGGGCCTTTTTCACTCAACCCCAGTCTCTCATCTTCCCCCACCAGGCAACAACCACTGTTCTGATTTCTGTCCCCTTTGATTAGTTTGAGGCCCTACTTTTAAGAAGTGAAAATTGAATGTACGCAACTTTGCCTGCTTCCCTGAAGTGTCTCTTTGCAGAAGTGTGCTCTCCCTTTTGGACCACAAGTACTTCTTAAGCTTTGTTTTAGATCCATCTGGAAAACCTTTCAGGGAGTCAGTCTTCGTCCCAGTACAGACACATTTATATTTAAAGGAATTTACATTTATAGGTTATGAAGGCCAATTATGATTCGCTATAAAAATAACTCATCTTTCTGGAAAATAGTTACTTTTCCCCAAAACATCTGCTTTCTTGCCTCTTCCTGTGCATATCCAACCACTTCCTTTGTTTCTGTGGAGAGGATTGCTTGAGCCTTTGAAAGTGAGCACATATGCACCCTATCTCTCTACTAGGAGGCCATTTCCTGGTGTCAGTAACCTTCCTGCTGCAGTAAGACTCCTCTGAACAGCTCATCTGACTTGCCAGACATCAACCCAGAACAGTGGTAGCTGAAAATACACTGAGTGGCCAGATTATTATGATCTCTGGATGCATAATAATCTGGCCACTCAGTGTATATCCTACATAATAAAAGGCTAATATGCAATTGTCTTCTCAACCAGGAGTTTGACCAGTAGGCAGGGTTGGCCAACCACTCATATCCCCTCCCCCTGGCCAGGCTGGCTGGACCACACCCATGCACGAATTCATACACCGGGCCTCATATATATATATACTGAGTGGCCAGATTATTATGTGTTCAGAAATCATAATAATCTGGCCATTCAGTGTATAATAGCCAGCAAGGAAACTTAGAAACTGGAAACGGGGTTTTAGAAACTGGAAAACTTTGAGTAAGTCTTGCTCAGAACATTGTCTTACAGCCAAAGAATGTTGCCAAGGTCCAGGTGGAGGCAGCTTTCCACAGACACGATGAAAGCAGACGGTGCCTGCATCTCTTCCTCCCGGAGAGCTGGCGGCCAGGCTGGGTCATTTTCTCCACAGCAGATTCATCTTCCCAGACAGTGAGCTAATGCTTGGCACTGGCAAACTCCATGAAAAAAAAAAAAAAAAAAAGGCATTTAACCCCATGCTTTGAGGCAGAAATGACTTCATGGAATAGATACACAAAATCAAATCAAGCTATGTTGTTGTTGTTTTTTTTTTAATATTCTAAAGAAAAAGAAAAAAAATGATGCACACAGTCATAATATTAGAACCCACTTGTGAACATAGAACACAAAACTGTAAACTCCCCTGAAAGAATCATATTACAGAAGTCATTTTGTTAGGAAAGAGATAATTCTGTGGAATTATAAACAGCTGCCGAAAGCATGTGGTGAATCCCTCTTTCCTATACAATGTCACTGAATATTTTCTGGTGTTCCTATAGTTTAAATAAAGAAAACTTTTTCCTTTTTTTTTAATTCCTAAAAGAGTATTTTTAAAATAGGTACTACATTAATATGGTTCAATTTTTTATTTTTTTTTAGTAACAGAATATAAAGGGTCTTCAGGAACAAGTGTCCCTCCCACTCCTGGGCCCCGGCCACTCCCTTTCCTTCCCCATAGCCTGTGTTAGTGGTTTCTTGTGTATCTATCTATTCAGAGATAGTCTAACATATACAAACTTTCATCATTCTTTTACAAAATATATATTTTTATTGATTTTACAGAGAAAGGGAGAGGGAGAGAGAAACATCAATGATGAGAGAGAACCATTGATTGGCTGCCTCCTGCACGGCCCTCACTGGGGATGGAGCCCAAAACCCAGGCATATGCTCTTGACTGGAATCGAACCTGGGACCCTTCAGTCCACAGGCTTGACATCCTATTCACTGAGCCAAACCAGCTAGGGCTCATTGTTCTTTTTTTATACAAATGAAATGTTGTTATGCTGTCTTGCATTTTGCTTTATTTTTTGCACTCATATTTAGAATCAAAATTTTGAAGATATGTTTCAGTAAAGCAAAATTAAATGTTCATTTATCCTTTGATTTAGCAAATCCCACTTCTAAATCCATTGCAAAAAACAAAATATTTCATGTAGCTTATTCACAAAGCATTTCCAAAGGAAAGAATGTAATGTGCACCAATAGCTGAAAATAAAATGAGACAAAATTAATAGTGTGTAGATTTGGAGTAATAACTTAGAGGAACTATGTCGTGACTTTAAAACATAATCCCTGGGCCAGGTTTTCTCAACCTCAGCACTGTTGACCTTTCAGGCCAGATAACTCTTTGTTGTGGAGGGTTGGATGTCTTGTATTAGCACCAAAAGCTCAGGTGGGCTTCCTGATTGGCAACAGTTTGAATGTACTTTGTTGTTGGGTGAATTTACTGCCGATGCATGTGACTCCATTGAGAGAGTTTTAAAATGTAGGATGGGGTATTTGGGGCGAGAATAAGGCAATAGGGGAATAAGGACACATACATAATACCCTAATCAACGAAGAAAAAAATTAAAAATAAATAAATAAAATGTAGGAGGAGGCAGCATGCTGTGGTACACGGAGCAACACGCGGAAGCACCAGGGTCAATCAGGAGGCAGAGGGAGTGAGAAGGAAATGTGGGCATGAGTCATTATGGGATGGAGGAAAAGGGGCAGGACAGGGAAGCAGGCTTGGGGTTGGCCAGTTTGGCTGATTTTAGTGTATGCCGAGGCACAGAGGCTGTCCCTGCCTTTCTGGGACTTGGCCCTGGGGTGATTAGGGCAGGTAGAAGGTGGCCCAGAGTGTGCCCCACCCAGAAGCTGGTTTGAGCAGGAGCTCTGGATTGGTTGGTTTGCATATAGACTCACAGATGAGTCGTCCTATCTGTAGAGATAGGCTAGTCCTGGGAGGAGCAGTCTCTCTGGGATCAGCTAGGTCTACTGAAAACAATAGGAATTTATCTCACATAATTCAAGTCCATGGTGGGCACTAGCTTCAGGCATCCAAACAAGGTCACCAGAGCCTTGATTCTCTTGACTGTTTCATTCTTGGTTGCCTTAATCCTCAAGCTGGCTGTCTTTATGTGGAGGGCCAGTTCCAAGATTATGTTGTGGACCTTATAGCCCCTGATACAAGAGGAGAGAGAATCTTTCATGATAGCTCTGGCAATAGTTCTAGGACTGTCCAGGGCTAGCTCACATTCCTGGAGCCAGGAATAAGGTTTGCTTCAACCAAGTCTCATGGCTGCACAGAGTCTCCCACTGAGCAGGAAAGGGGGGCTCTCCGAAGGAAGAGAGGCTGGGTGTATGAAATATACATCCACTATGCGAGGCAAAGCTGTAAACTTGCAGAGATGAAAACATCATCTCAGCCCAATACATTTCCTGAATTAATGTAGGAATACAAAGCAGAGCATCACTTTTAAAGTATCATAGTATTTCAAATTCTTAGTTCATATTTCAGAGAAGCAATAAAAAACAAGTCAGGACAGATAGATACCAAGGTCGTTAGTGAGATTCCATTTTCGCAGACAGCTGCTCAGTCAAGTATAGATTGTTCCATGTTCTGCAGTTCCATCCCTCTAGCACAGAAGAGATATGCTGCTCTGGTAGAAGGCAGACTTTTTATTCTCATTCAGCCTCAAGAAAAGCTAGGGCTTATCCAGCACCAAGGGAAAACTATGGTCCAGCATGAAGGGCTGGAAGATACCTTGCTACCAGTCAGCTCTTTGCAGACTTTCTCTTCTCATTTAAACTGGTGGTAATCCGGGGGGTTTCTGATCCAGGACCCAAAGGCCTGCTTCCGGAGTGTGCTCCAGGCTTCCTGGTAAGAAGATGCAGCCTCCTTGTACTCCAGGTATGTTTCCAGCTTCCGCACCCTAATGCACACATCCCACCAAGCACACAGGTTCTCATTGAACAGCTCACCACCACGGCCAACAAGACACCTGAGCAATCAGCTGTTCAGATTTACTACAAGAGACTTAGGAACAGGATCATCTTAGTATGCTTTCCTAAAGAGACTCTGGCTCCTTTGTAGGACATTCACTGCAAAGTAACATGGATTAAAACAGGCAGGAAGTGAGCCCTCGCAAGTGTGGCTCAGCTGCTTGGAGCATCGTCCCATATACTGAAAGGTGTTGAGGGCACAAACCAAGGTTGCAAATTCGATCCCTGGCCCTAGTCAGGGAATGTGCAAGAGGCAACTAATTGGTGTTTCTCTCTCTCTCCCCTTCCTATCTCCAAAATCAATTAAAAACCCCCCACAAGAAAAAACACCCCAACCAGTGTGGCTCAGTGGTTGATCATTGATCTATGAACCAGGAGATCACAGTTTGATCCCCAGTCAAGATATATATGTAGATTGTTGGATCATCCCTGGTATGGGGTGTGCAGGAGGAAGTTGATCAATGATTCTCTTTCATCATTGATGTTTCTATCTCTCTCCCCTTTTCCCTCTCTGAAAGCAATAAAAAATAATTTTAAAAAATGCACACAAAACAGGCAAGACTAAACAGAATACTAGCTTTGTCTGGTCCTGGTGAAATCAGATAAAACAATAATAACTATTATATTTTTGGTTTAAAGTTTCCTAAGTGTCTGTAATTTCCACCAGAGCACAGAGCCATTAGAAACCTCTTGGCTGTGTTTTCCCTAACAAAGCAAAGCACTTTCCATTCTACACATACTCTCCTATACCAGCCAACACCCCTCCCAATCCCTCAGTCGTCTCTGCCTGCTAAAAAATGGCCATGTTGAGTAATATCTGTAATACTTATATCCTGTTAAAAGATTTTCTTATGACAGACTCTTCTCTCCTTTGACCAAATCTGAGTCAGGCTCCTCTGAGCCCTTTTCTCAACTTGGACCTTGAGCTCTGTCCTTGCATCTTATAATTGAAGACACTGATACCCATGTCTTATTGATCCAATTTTTCCCTGTTTCCAAGTTGCATCTTAGCTCACTTCAGCAGGGCCAAATTGCTAACTGCAGCAAAAATTGACTTCAGTTGTTTGATCAATTTCCTACAGCTTTTTGTTGGTTAAAGGATGGGATCTACACACCCACGAAGGATCAAGCCTACAAACCAGGCATGTGCCCTGACCAGAATGGAATCTGGGACCCTTCAGTCCACAGGCCAATGCTATATCCACTGAGCCAAACCAGCTAGGGCCTAACTTGTATTTTTTAAAAGGTAAAAGCTAATCGTAACTATCTTGCTTTTCTGAACTCTGTCACTTGTGCTGGTGAATTACTGAACATGAGTGGGAACCCCTGGGTCAGAAGTATGAGTGCCTTGCGCCCCCCGAGCTTGTGGCTAGAATCTGAAGTGAGGGCAGTTTGTGAGGACTGTGCCCTTATCCTGTGAAGTTTTGCCTGACTCTAGGTAGTTATTGTCTAATAACTGAAAAGGTTTGTACCACAAACCACCCATCCTCCACCCTCAGATCATACACCTATCTACAAGCAGGGCCATGGGAACGGGATGGAAGAGCATGTGGTCAATGATAAGCACCCACTGGCTATGGAAACACCACTCCTTCTAAAGCTTCCTGCTACTCATGAGCCTAAATGAAACCAGAAGCCTTCCTAAATATGAAAAAACACGGGTCCATAGTGTTACCTGAGGGAGTCTGGCCACTTGTCCTCTGAAATACTGCTTAGCAGCTCCTGGAATGATCTAAAGAGTTCCACTTTGCTGATTCGAGATCTGTTTGGAAGAAGACAAAAGGATTTATTACATGTTTGCTATGTACCAGATTCCTATCAAAGATGTGAGGCTTCATGTGGTATTTAAGTTTGCATGTGCCAGAGCGCCGTTCACCTATACTGGCAAGGAGAAAATCTACACCTGAGGCTTTGATTAGGTTGAGGCACAAAAATGAATCTCATCTTTAGAAATGTCACCAGCAGTGAAATCATCAAGGGACGGGTTCAAATGGGGTAAAGGCAGAGGTGAAATAACCAAACTCCCCCCAGAATACCTATCAGCCACCTTGGCTACCTCCTTTCAAGGGCGCTGGCCCTTTGGGTAACACTTTACAAGAAATTAAAAGCTTTTGTTTCAGGACCTTGTGTGCTGCTCCGGTATGAAGCCCACTTGGATGAGCCATCTGAGGCAGAATCTCCAGACTCTCCCTCTGGACACACGAGCCATTGCAGGCCAACCCGCTGCTTCTGACACCGAGCCTCACGGAGGTCTTCATGAGGATCAGTGAAGGAGGTGAGTGTGCCACCTCCTCACCAGCTCCCCTGGGCTTCTTGGTTCGGCCCACCCACGTCGGTGCGTCCTAGACTGCGTGTACCTCCTTCCTTTCCCTCATAAATACAATTCACGAGCTGATTTAGAAGTAGGGAACTGTTGTGTGGGCCACAGTGTGTGTCATACCTGCACACCGTATCCTTCACTGTTTGCACACATGGCACCATCAGCTTGGACACAGTGGCCATATTGGTACATAAGACGCAGGGGATTGTACAATCTGTCAGGAACTCCCTCACCTGGCTGGGCCCTGGCCTCCTGAGAAGAATCACTGCCTAAACCAGAACCGTGAGCCCTCACAGGCTGCTTTCTCTGGGCCTGAATTGTGGGAAATGGCTATTGGCACTCAGGAATATAAAGCTGCTTTAATGTTTAAAAAACACCCAAAGCCAAAAAATAATGGAACCCATCTCATTAACAGATTAGAGGAGAAAAGTAATATAACTATGAGGAAAATGTATGCAGAAAAAGCATCTGATAGAATTCAACATCCATCAAATGATGTAAAACCTTTTACAAATGAGAACTAAGAAAGGTATTGAAATTCAGGTAGCGTATCTATAACAACCTACAGCAAATATATGTCCTTAAATCAGGAATAAGACAAGAGTACTTGTCATCACTGCTTTTATCCAACATTATACAGAAGGTTCTGGACTATTAAGACAAATAAAAGGAATAAAGATTGAAAAGCAAAAACTAGCTCTAGTTGGTTTGGCTCAGTGGATAGAACACCGGTCTGTAGACTGAAGGGTCCCACATTTGATTCCAGTCAAGGGCACGTGCCCGGGCTCTGTCCCCAGTAGAGGGTGTGTAGGAGGCAGTCGATCAATGGTTCTCTCACATCACTGATGTTTCTATCTCTCTCTCCCTTCCTCTCTGAAATAAATAAGAATAGATATATAAGAAAAGCAAAAACCAAAGCCATTATTTGCAGATGAGTGTGATGTTGTCAGTTCTAGCCAGCACAAAAAAAAATGAAGGGAATGGAGGATTAGAAAGGAAATGCTACTTACAAAAGATTATCTATATTAAAAAATTCCAGACCCTGGGCAATGGAAAGATATGTACACATATAATACCTTAATAATAATAAAAAAATTCTAGACCCTGGCCGGGTAGCTCAGTTGGTTAGAACATCGTCCTGATACACCAAGATTTGGGGTTCAATCTCCAGTCAGGGCACATATAAGAGGCAACCCATAAGTTCATCACTAAGTGGAACAACAAATCAATGTTTCTTTTATTCTCTCTAAAAATCAATAAAAATAAAAATTTTAAAAATTCCAAAGGAATTCTTAAATAAAATAATAGGATAATACGTATTAGCAGAAGTTGCTGGATACAAACACTGATTGTAGCTGAGAGAAACAAAAATTTGATTTCAACAACATTGCCCAGAAAATGAAATAAAAAGAACTTACATCTATTGTACCCAACCTCTAAGGGGGTGATTCGTGTCTCCTGGAACCCATGCCTCTGTGCAATCCCCTCCCACACTGAAGGGGACTGACCTGTATAGCCATTAGGAGGTTGCAGGTGCAGGGTGACTTCTGGGGTTAGGCCATAAAAGACTCTGTGGCTCCTGCCCTGTTCTCTTGAGTCACTTGTTCTGGGGGACCTCAGCCACCATGTTGTAAAGAGGAACATGGTAGGTAGCCTTATGGAGAGAGCCACATCGTGAGGAACTGAGGCCTCCTGAGACAGCCAGCACTGACCTGACAGCCACATGAGTGAGCCATTTTGGAATTGGAACCTCTAACCACATTCAAGCCTTTAGATGACTGCCACCCCAGCTGACATACTGGACTGCACAACCTTGTGAGTCACTGAACCAGAATTATCCAGCTAAGCTCCTCCCAAATTCCTGACCCACAGAAATAGGAAATAATAAGTGTTGATTGTTGCTTTAAGCCATTAAATTTTGGGGGGCAATTTGTTACACAGCAAGAGATAATTAATATAACATTCAAGGAAAAACTCATAAAATATGTGAGATTTTTTTTTTTGTTAATCCTCACACGAGGGTATTTTCCCCCCATTGATTTTCAGAGAGAGTGGAAGGGAGAGGAAGAGACAGAGAAAAAAAAAATGGATGTGAAAGAGACACATGGATTGGTTGCCTCCCACACGCTCCCTGACCAGGGCCAGGATCAAACCTGCAACCGAGGTATGTACCCTTGATCAGAATTGACCCTGGGACCCTTCAGTCGCCCGGCCAACACTGTAACCACTGAGCAAAACTGACTAGGGCAAAGATGTGAGATTTATATGAAGAAAATTAAATTTTACTGAAATATATATATATATATATATATATATATATATATATGAAGACTTAAGAAAGCTATACATACATATGTAATTTAAAAAACATATATTTTAAAATATATTTTTATTGATTTCAGGGGGGAAGGGAGCGGGAGAGAGAGACTGAAACATCTATGATGAGAACCACTGATTGGCTGCCTCCTGCATGCCCCTACTGGGAATTGAGCCTGCAACTCAAGCATGTGCCCTTGGCCATAATTGAACCCAGGACCCTTCAGTCCGCAGGCTGAAACTCTAGTCACTAAGCAAAACCAGCCAAGGCTTAAAAAATATTTTAAAATTAATTTTAGAGAGAGGAAGGGAGAGGGAGATGGGAGATAGGGAGAGAGAAAAACATCGATGTGAGAAACGTTGATTGGTTGCCTCCCCGCACACCCCTATCAGATCAAACCCACAACCTGGGTATGTTCCCTGACTGGGAATCATGCACCTTTTGGTGCACTGAATGATGCTCAACCAACTGAGCCAGGGCCCATAATTTTTTTTTTTTTTTAAGATTACACCTTCACATTGATATTTTCGATCTAGCACTAACCTTACTCTAACATACTTAGATATACATTTATTTTGTAATCCCTCAGTCTTTTCTTTTATAATCCAATGAGCTATATAATAATTCCCTGGGATGCTTGTTATCTGGACAGGGAGGAAAGAGAATTTTCCATTTTAGGGCAAAAGAATTTGCCTGTAAGAAGCAGGGTAAAAGTAAGCTTTACAAAAAATGAGAGTCCTATTAGCTCATTGTTGTTAAAAAAATAAACAAATGAAAACAAGAAGATTTAAATAAAATAGTTCCTTTAGTGTTGCACTAGTATATTGTCCCAGTCTGAGTTCCTATTTCCTAGAGTTCTAAAGAAGGTGGTGGCCTCTGGATGCCAGCACTCAGGAATGAGCAACGAGGAAACCTGCTTTCTTCCCAGCAGCTGCTGGTCTTTAGAATAAAACTTACTTTTTCACAAGTATTATGAAGCTTTATTTGACAAATGAAGGGGAAATCCATCTTAATTAACAAGATGTCTACTGCAAGCCCTGCACCATGTTAGAGGCATCCTCTCCTTCAATTTTCACAACGTTCCTGTGCAATACATACTCTTGGTTACCCCTGCTTCATTGCTGGGGAAACGGGAGCTCAGAGGCCAGACAAGTTCACACAACCAGGGAGAAAGGGAGCCAGGAAGTACAAAGCGCCTGCTTTTCCGACCAAATTCTTCCTCCCTGTGTGGAGTCTGCCTTCTCAGTGCAGAGAAACAATGTGTCAGAGACCTCAGGTCTTCTACTCCAATGTCCTCGTTTTAGAGATGAACACAGGGCAGGTGGCTTGTTCAAAGTCACCTGGATAACCAGAGACAGACCCAAGGTGGGAACGGAGACACCCCCAATCACACAGAAATCAATGACATGTTGGGAGAAGCTGGAGTACACTACCTTGGGAATTTAGAGAAAAGATGATCATTTTGAGCCAGAAGGCAGTGGTGGTTGAGCTGAATGTTTCAAGTAAAAGAGGGTGTGGATTCACAGTAAAGAAGAGCATTTTTAGACTTAAGCAAAGTAGCAAACCTAAACCACAGTCAGGTGGGTGGGGCCAGTAGGAGTTGCCGCTAGCCCCTCACCAAGACTCAGCAGGAAACATGTGGTTCCTGTGCTCTGATCACACATCCTTGGGCCCCAAAGAGGTGCTGACAATGGTGGCCTGAAGCCAAGGAAGTGGGGGGTGGAGGGAAGGGAGGGAACTCCAAAACTCTCTACCTACAACAGTTTTGTAAACATTGCTCAATTCAACATCCTAGGCCACCAGGGACAGGCCAAGTCTGCCATCTAGACCATTTAAAAGCTGGTTAATTGCTGTGAAGAATGAACCTTTTTTTTTTTTTTTAAAGTCTAATAAGATATAATTAGTAGTTGTTTGTGTTGATTCAGGCAAATAAACATGTCAAAAAAAAATCCACCTGTGAAGTTCAATTTCACAGCTCAACCCAGATTGTGGTGGAGAGGCCACTCCCCCACAACCCCTCCCACCCTGAGGCTGCTGCAGAGCACCTGTGGCTCAATAGGAGGAAAAAGCAGGGTAGATGAGACCAGCTGAGCATTTAGCACAAGAAGAACCGGTAAGATAGATATATGAATCTCCAAACACACAACAATAACTATCTCATGTCCATCAGCTCATAAGCTCTATACTTCAGCAAAAGCCAATTTGAAGACACAAAATCTTATTTTCAGGGTGCCCTTTTGCCAATACAATCACTAGGGAGCTTTATTATAAGTGATTCTTGGGTTCCAACTTTGACCTACTAAGCCAGAATCCTAGTGGAAAAGCCCAATTAAATATTCTTTTCAAAATCTCCCAGGGGGAAAGAACAGTGTTTCCAAAAAAATGGTGCTGGGACAACTGAATGCCAAAGAATGAAGTTGGTCCCTACCTCACACCTTATAGAAAGAGTAACTCAAAGTGGACTAATAAAAAGCATAAGAGCTAAACTATAAAACTATCAGAAGAAAACAGAGTAAATCTTTGTGACCTTGGATTAGGCAATGGTTTCTTAGACATGACACCAAATGCATAAAGAACCAAAGAAAAAAATAGATATCAAAATTTTAAATGTTTTAAACACTGTCAAAAGATGGGAAGACAACTGAGACCGGTTTGGCTCAGTGGATAGAGCGTTGGCCTGCGGACTGAAGAGTCCCAGGTTTGATTCCGGTCAAGGGCACATACCTTGGTTGTGGGCACAATCCCCAGTAGGGGGTGTGCAGGAGGCAGCTGATCGATGATTCTCTCTCATCGATGTTTCTAACTCTCTATCCCCCTCTCTTCTTCTCTGTAAAAAAATCAATAAAATATATATATTAAAAAAAAAAAGATGGGAAGACAGCCCACAGAATTGGAGAAAATATTTATAAAAGTGCATCTGATAAAGGACTAGTGACTAGAATATATAAAGAAATCTTACAACTCAAAAATAAAAGATAAATAAAACAATTTTTAAAAATGGGCTAAGGATCTGAATAGATGTTTCTTCAAAGAAGATATACAAATGGCTAATAAAGTACGTGAAAAGATACTTAAGCTCATTAGTTATCAGGGAAATGCAAATCAAAACCACAGTGAGATAGCACTTTACACACACTAGAATGGCTTTAATATAAAAGACAGACAATAACAAGTATTATAAATGATGTAGGATAACTGAAACTCATACATTGCTGGTGGAAGTTTTAAAATGGTGTAGCTGCCTGGCTGGTGTGGCTCAGTGGTTGAGCATCAACCTATGAACGAGGAGGTCATGGTTTGATTCCTGGTCAGGACACATGCAGACTCGATCCCCAGTGTGGGGTGTGCAGGAGGCAGCTGACAAATGATTCTCTCTCATCACTGATGTTTCTATCTCTCTCTCTCTTCCTCTCTGAAATCAATAAAATATATATACATATTTTTAAAAAATGGTGCAGCTGGTGTGGTTAACTAGTAGTAGTTGAGCATTGACCCAAGAACAAAGGATGGGGGGGAACTGATTCCTGATCAGAGCACATGCCCAGGGTTTGGGCTCAATCCCCAGAAAAGGGTGTGTAGGAGGCAGCCAATCAATGATGTTTTTCTCTCACTGATGTTTCTCTCTCTCTATCCTTTCCCTTCCTCTCTCTCTAATTAAAAAAGAAAAGAAAAAAAAGAAAAAGAAATTCAACTAAAATGGTATAGCTGTTTGGAAAATAGTTTGGCCGTACCATAAAAGTTAAATGTAAGGTTATCTTTTTTTTTTTTTTTAAAAAGATATTTTATTGATTTCTTAGAGAGAGGAAGGGAAAGGGATAGAGAGTTAGAAACACTGATGAGAGAGAAACATCAATCAGCTGCCTCCTGCACGCCCCCTCCTGAGGATGTGCCCGCAACCAAGGTACATGCCCTTGACCTTAATCAAACCTGGGACCCTTCAGTTTGCAGGCTGATGCTCTATCCACTGAGCCAAACCATTTAGGGCATGTAAGGTTATCTTAATACTCAGGAATTCCACTACTAGGTACACACAAGAGGACTGAAAGCATATGTCCACCCAAAATCTTGTTACAAATGTTCATAGCAGCATTTATTCATAACAGCCAAAAAGTGAAGCAAGCCAAATGTCCATCAATGGATGAGTAGATAAACAAAAGGTGATATAATCATACAATGGAGTATTATTTAGCCAAAAAAGAGAATGAAGAACTGATAAATGCTACAACATAGATGAACCTTGAAAAAATGCTAAGTGAATTAAGTTAGACATAAAATGATTATGATACTACTTATATGACACATCTAGAATAGATAAAGCTGTGGAGACAGAATGGAAATTAGGGCTTGCCAGAAATGGGGAGTGACCGTTAACGGATTTGGGTTTTCTTTTGGGGATGATGAGGTGTGGGATTTGTGGTGTGGTATACCGTCTCCTGTCCCAGGGTGCTGTACCTGGCCTGAAGGCTTCCGATCCCCTTCTTTGTTGTTCCCTGCGGAAAGCCGCTGGCAGTGACATCCAATGGCTGCTCAGGAACTGCACTCCAGCTGATGGCTGTGAAAAGATAAGATTCTAGAGTTAAAACTGTTCGTTTTTCTAATAACCCCAGAAGTGTTTTAATAAAAACGTCTCCCTGCTTCTGCAGACCCATGAGAGCTAGATATAACGTCAGGCACAGTGAAGGTCACTCTGATCCTTGGCTTCCAGAGTACAAGTGGTTCATAATTAATCCTCCTCCTCCTCCTCCTCATCGTAACAACTATCACTGAGCATTTATTATATGCTAAACACACAGTAAATGAATGAAACAGAATTTCTCATTTAATCCTCATAACAACCCTGATAAACAAATTATATTCTTATCTAAAGGTGAAGGAATGAGGCTGAAAGAGGATGATAAGTAGGTTGCCCAGGGTCACAGAGATTATGAACCCGTGTGGGTGTCTCCAAAGTCCACACTATTGACGGTTTGCATCCCCAGGCCGAGGATGCAGCCCGTCCCAAGCCACTCCATGGTCTGGGGACAAGCTGCTCCAGGGCAAGTGGAACCTGGTCCCTTACCTGCTCCACAAGGAACAAGCCGCCCTGGACTGCCAGCCCTTTTTGCCTGCACTGCACAGCGGCTCTGCTCAAACAGTAAATCCGACTGCTGTATTTTCACTTCCTGAACTCCAAAGCCTTTGGGTAAAGAGGAGACATTCTGACACCTAAACGTGACGGAAAATGCATTCAGTTCAGGCACGCTCCTTGAGAAAGAGAGTATCTGGGACTGTGGACCACATCACCACCCCTGTCTCGGTGAGAGGCAAAGGCCATTTGACACAGGCCTTCCCCTGGCCATGGCTTCATTCTGCCCTCAGTTACCACAGCATTCATGGGCTTTAGCTGCCTTCATTTACCTTTTTAAAAATTAACACTAATGTTTGAAGGTTTTTAAAAAAAATGTAACAGCAATATGTGTATACTGTAGAAAAATTAGAAAATGCAATAATTGCAAAGAAGAAAAAACTACCAATAATGTCACATCTCAGTGGTAATAAATATTAATAGCTTTGTGTATAACTTCTTACAATCTTTTTCTATATCATATGTCCTTTAAGACTAAAATGAACTTACTTTTATCTTCTAAATTGTTCTTTAAACATGTGCATCTTACCATATTAAATTTCCTCAGTAGAGTTAAAAAATTTTTTTTTTTAATTAAATTATTATCTGTGTACATATCTTACCTCAGTAGACATTTTAACACAAATCACTTGATGTATTGTTGGCCATTTTAGTGATTTCCTTTTCTTTTTAAAAAAATGATGACACACAACGCTAAATGTTTGAAGCCCCCCTCCCTGCCCTCTCACCTCCCAACCAGCGCTCTCTGCATGGCTTCCTGGCTGTACGGGCACTTCCCGATGACCACAGCCGACAGGTACACAGGCTGCTCCAGGAAGTGCATCAGCAGTGACCCCTGGCACCCGAGGACGTTCCACCGCGCCAACTTGTCGCTGCAGGACATGGAGCAAGTCCTGTCTCCGCGGCCGGGCTTCACGCGGAGCAGCCCTACGCGGTGATACGCAGCACCAGGCCTCCCCGGGTCCCCAGCTTCGCCAGGCACACACTTGGCTCCGGTCCTGTAAACATCCACCACTTTGGGACCCCTGGGGGCCATCCCAGGAACAGCGGCCGGCTCCTCTGAGGTGATGTTAGAGCTGCTGACACTCGGTAGGATTGGGCCACTTCCCTGATTGCCAAAACTCTGATGGTGAGCCACACCGTTGGTGACTTTTCTGTCAGGAGTTCCGGGCTCAAGCCTCATTTTTTTGGTCACGGGACCGTCTGGGTCTTCACAGTTCCTTTTATCTTCAGTAGCTTCCAGGTTACCACGGGCTTCCATTGGTGGGTTTTGGGCCCAATCTCTACTGACAGGATGGCAAGGCTGATCTTCAAACTCGAGCATTGGAATGATGGAGGCATCCCCACCTACAGGAGAAGAAACACCTTAAACCAGTGGTTCCCAAAGTGCCGCTAAGCCACAGCAGCATAGCTTAGGAACTTGTTAGAAATACAAATTCGTGGGACCCACAGAAACTCTGGAGGTGTATCCAGCAGTCTGTACATTAATAAACTCTCCAGATGATTCGGATGCAAACTCAAGTTTGAGAACCACTATTTTAAACAAAGCTTAATATTAGTCTCCCAGCTGACCTGAGATGAATTAAGAATAGTTGCCCAAATTTGCTTAATACTAATCCTTTTGTTGAAGACCCTGACCTCTGCTAGACTCAGCCAATTATAATCTCTGGAAGGGAGGGGTCTGGAAAACTATTTTAACAAAGATCCCAGGGAACTCTTATCACAGGAAGTTTGAAAACACTAGTGTTAATATATATTTTTATTGATTTCAAAGAGGAAGGGAGAGGGAGAGAGAAACATCAATGGGGAGAGAGAATCATTGATTGGCTGCCTCCTGCATGACCCCTACTGGGGATCGAGCCCACAACCCAGGCATGTGCCCTTGACCAGAATCAAACCTGGGAGTCCCCTCAGTCTTACGGCCGATGCTCTATCCACTAAGCCAAACCAGTTAGGGCAACACTAGTTTTAGACCAGAAGTTTTCAACCTCCACATTACTGACATTTTGGGTCAGATAATTCTATGCTGCAAGGTCTGTTCTGTACATTATAGGATATTTAGCAACCTCCCAGGTCTCCACTTATTAGAGTTCCCTAGTCTGACTATCAAAAATGTCTCCGATGTTGCTAAATGTCTCCTGGGGAACAAAATAGTCCTACGCTGAGAACCACTTGTTTAGAATGAGCAGTTTCCCAAGTGCATTTTGTGGAATGTTATCCCACAAGATGTCCTGGAAAACAAGTGGGTGGCTGATTTCATGGTTAAATAAGTTTGGCAAATAATGCTTACAATTTCCCCATCTTGGAGATGTATGTGAATATCCTCGGAGTAAAAACTCTACAGTAAATTATACAGCTGGTATTCCCCTATACTTGTTTAGGGATTTCTGACCTACTCTGCGTTTACAGGGAATAGAAAAGAAACAAAAACAGGTTAGTAAAGAGCACTCCGAGAGATGCAAATCAAAACGACAATGTGGTACCATCTCACACCTGTCAGAATGGCTATCATCAACAAATCAACAAATGACAAGTGCTGGCAAGGATGTGGAGAAAAAGGAACCCTCATGCAATGCTGGTGGGAATGCAGACTGGTGCAGCCACTGTGGAGAATAGTATGGAGTTTCCTCAAAAAACTGAAAATGAACTCCCATTTGACCCAGTAATCCCACTCCTAGGAATATATCCTAAGAAACTAGAAACACCAATCAGAAAGGATATATGCACCCCTATGTTCATAGCAGCACAATTCACCATAGCTAAGATTTGGAAACAGCCTAAATGCCCATCAGCAGGTGAGTGGATTAAAAAACTGTGGTGCATCTACACAATGGAATACTACGCTGTGGTAAAAAAGAAGGAATTCTCACCATTTGCAACAGCATAGATAGAATTGGAGAGCATTATGCTAAGCGAAATAAGCCAGTCGGAGAAAGATAAATATCACATGCTCTCACTCATTTATGGAACATAATAAACAACATAAACTGATGAACAAAAACAGATTCAGAGACAGAGACACATTGATCAGACTGTCAAACCTCAGAGGGAAGGTAGGGGAGGATGGAGATAAGGTAGAGAGATCAACCAAAGGACTTGAATGCATGCATATAAGCCTGACCAATGGATACAGACACAGGTGAGGGGGAGTAATGGGGGATAAGGACACATATGTAATACCTTAATCAATAAAGGAAAAAAAAGCACTGCTTTTGAGAAGGGAGCTATTTCTTCAAACACTAACCTAATGTGGTGCTTTTCTAAAGCGTGTGAGTAATACATCTGTAGCTTTAAAACCCAAGAGTGGGAAAGGCAAGAGATGCATTAGTGGGCGTGCTGCCAGAGAGGCTGGCTGGCAGATTTCCAGAGACCTCATAAGGTGACAGTGACTTTGGAGAATTTATCAGGGCTCACCTCCCACTCTGCAGGCGCAGAGATTTGATCTTGACAGATGGCTGCACTCGAGAGGCTGACTCATGCTAATAAAACTCACAAAAAAAGAGTCTGAAGTAACTAACCCATGCACCAAATTATCAATTAATAATGAGGAACAAGTGCCAAGACAGCCAAATAGTCACATTCTTTAGGTAGTGTTCTTTCTTTCAGACAAACCAGGGGTGGGCATCACATTAAAATTTTTTTTTTTAGAGCTCTCCCTCCAGGGAACATGCAGGCAGCTTCCCCGACCCCCTATCTACAGCCCATTAACTCCTGAGCCGTTTCTTCTACTGTTCACTTCTACCTCTGTGACTTACTAAACAAATTTTCTCTTATATTTTTGGGTAAAAAATATTTTTTAAATGAGCTAGGGAGTTAGATTAATGGCTCTAGATTTTTATTTCACAGACCAGTAAAATTTCCAAAAGATTTTAAGATTAACAGAAGGCAATCAACTTTTTATCCCATCAAGTAAGGTCTTTTAAGAATCCTAATTACTGCTATTTTAAAAAGATTAAAATCTTATAACCTTTAATTGAAAGAGATTAGCTTTTAAAAAACCTCACTAAATAGTCCTGATTTTTCTCATAGATCAATACACTCACAGAGCAGTACCAATCAATGCGGACATTGATTTATGTCATTTGATTAGGTGCTTGATGCCCAGATGCATCTGATTCTCTACTAGAATCAGCCAGACCCTGGCTACTCAAAGTGTGGTCCACAGGCCAACACCACTGGCATCAACCGTGAGTTGATTAGAAATGTAGAGCCTCAGGCTCCACCCCAGAATTTAAATCTGCATTTTAGCACGATCCCTGGGTGATTCGTATGCATATTACAGTTTGAGAGACACTGAGTTAGGAAACATCCTTTGGTCCTACGACCAGAGCAACCACTGTAAAGAACAGCATGGATGAGCCCTATGATTTTTCTGGCCTTTGACTCTTAACTCTTTTTCTTTCTTTTTTTTTTTTTTTAAATATATATTTTATTGATTTTTTTTACAGAGAGGAAGAAAGAGGGATAGAGAGTTAGAAACATCGATGAGAGAGAGTCATCGATCAGCGGCCTCCTGCACACCCCCTACTGGGGATATGCCCGCAACCAATGTACATGCCCTTGACCAGAATCGAACCCGGGACCTTTCAGTCCCCAAGCCGACGCTCTATCCATTGAGCCAAACCAGTCTTGGCTTAACTAACTCTTTTTCAATAGACTCATTCTTTCTTTTTCTTTTTTTAATTAAAAAAATATTTTTTTAAATTAAGATATATATATTCAATATATATATATATATATATTTTTTTTTTTTTTAAATATATTTTATTGATTTTTCACAGAGAGGAAGGGAGAGAGATAGAGAGATAGAAACGTAGATGAGAGAGAAACATCGACCAGCTGCCTCTTGCACACCTCCCACCGGGGATGTGCCCACAACCAAAGCACATGTCCCTGACCGGAATCAAACTTGGGACCTTTCAGTCTGCAGACCAACGCTCTACCACTGAGCCAAACTGATTTTGGCTTAAACTATATTTTTTATTTGAGTTATGATCAAGTCTTCACAGCTATTCTGTCTCTTAAGAGTGATTACCTATCTTTGCTCTAATTACATGTTACTCTTTTTTTTAAAAAAATATATATTTTATTGATTTTTTACAGAGAGGAAGGGAGAGAGATAGAGAGCTAGAAATGTCGATGAGAGAGAAACATCGACCAGCTGCCTCTTGCACACCCCCTACCGGGGATGTGCCCGCAACCAAGGTACATGCCCTTGACCGGAATCGAACCCGGGACCTTTCAGTCCGCAGACCGATGCTCTACCACTGAGCCAAACCGGTTTTGGCTACATGTGTTACTCTTAAAGTTTAATACACAGAGAATAATCTTACATCCTTATTTCAAAGATTTTACAGTGAGGACAGTCATCCCTGAGTTGTTGCCTACCAAGGACAGAAATTATTCTTAATTTTCAAGACAAAAACCAATAGAAATGACTCTCTGTAGGCCAGGTCTGGTCTTCCTGTCTAATGCAACCACAGCACCTGTAACTCACCAAAAATTACCTTAACTAACCATAATTGTCAACATTCCCTGAAAGACTATGAGAGTAAGCAAGGGGCTAGTCTTACTCACTGCCCCAGTGTGTCATACTGTCCCTGACAAATAGCAGAAAATATCTGTTTAATGCGTGAATGAATGAATGAGGTCAGTGAATGAATGAAATAAGTTTATACTTCTAAGCCTTACTGTTGGTTTCAGACCTGGTGGGGTTTTGGCTTTAGGTTCCCCAGTCCTGATGAGAAACTGAGAAGTGAGTCCCCCTGTCTGAATACCCCTACCCTCTCTTCTACCTTTTCTTGGCAGAGAAATGGTGAGGCACAATGGCCTGTTCACAAAAAGGCATCGCTGTTGTTTATAGCTACACTTCAGCCACAAGTGTTTTGTTTTGTTTTCTGAGAAACATATCTGTGGATAAGACAAACTATAAGGAAGTAAACAATGCAACATTAATCCAAAGGCCTAACTATACTCACAGGGCGTATGGCTGGAGAAAAATAAGAACGAAAGGCCTGGTCGGAGTTTCCACAGTCCTCTCTGAGTCCCTGGGATAAAGATGCTGCCCTCCTTCAGGGTGGCCGCCAAGTGAAGTTGATGGAGGAGGTACCTAATGGATGCAGGATGATATCAGAAAGAATACCAATCTCTGTAGTAAAGGGGAAGACTTGCTGAGTAATTACTAAGAAAGATCTACTAATGACCAATGGAACTGATAGTTATTTGGAATTATGAGAAATCTAGACCAGTGATTCTCAAAGTGTGGTCCTTGAACTGGCTGCATAAGCATCATCTGGAAATTGTTAGAAATGTCTAAAAAAAAAAAAAAAAAAAAAAAGGAAAAGGAAAAGAAAAAAGAAAGAAAGAAAAGAAATGAAAGAAATGCAACTTCTCAGGCTCCACTTTTGACCTGCTGAATCTCTGGGGGTGGGGCCAGCAATCAGGATTTTAACAAACCCCTTAGGTGATTCTGATGTACACTCAAGCATGAGACCCACTGTATAGGCCAGTGTTAGTCAAAGTTTAGTTCACAGGCTAGATAACATAATCTGTTTTTCTGGGAGCTTATTAGAAATGCAAATTCTGGGGCCAACCCAGGCTAAATCAGACTCTCTGGAGATGTGACTTTACCTTTGGAAACTCCTCCTGGCTATGACCTCAGCATGGCTATCATTGAGGATATCTCCTGTGGCAAAGACAGGACACTAGTGAAGACACAGGAGCCTGGAGACGCCCTGATTCCTGGCAGCAAACACAGCAGTTTCCCCCAGCACCCAGGACGGCCTGTAGCTCCTGGAGGGCTTTGCCAGAAAACATCACAATCATTAACGGCAATGCACTTACTGCAGGTTTCCTTAACTCGGCACTATTGACATTTTGGACCAGGAAATTCTTTGTTGTGGAGGTCTGTCCAGCATTCCTGGCAAGCTAGTAGCACACTCCCCTCTCCCAGATGACAACCAAAAATGTCTCCAGACATTGCCAAATGTCCCATGGGGGCAAAATCTCCCCTAGCTGAGAACTACTGATTTACAGGGAAATGTTTATCTGGAGGACAGGGGTGCAGATCTTGTGTGCCCTGGTGTCATACTTAGGCTCATGCTGATACATTTCCATGGGATTCAATCCATAGTGGTCCTTGAACAACTTCCTCATATACAGGAGGCAAAGCTAGGAGAATGGGCAAAGGAAACTCGAGGAGGCCTCTGCTAACTGGAAGCAGAAGATAAAGATGCCAGATCTCCAATCAATTCCCATATTCTTTTTGGTGCCAAAGTCTAAGTCAAGTTGCTTTCTGGATTTTCAGAGATACTGAAAATTAGCCAAGCCCATGGAACTTCTGTTTGAGCATGAAAATACTGGCCAACTTTCAATCCACTCAGAAGGCGTACTCGTGGCAGCCTTTGCTTCCACTGGTTATTCCCATTCTTTGAATGAGTTCTGTCCTTCCAACTGGAGCCAGTGACAGACAGCGGGAACTGAAATGTCAGCCATCTCAGTAATATGACCCCTTGGCCCTGGAGAGGAAAGTGCAAACATGGACACCATTTCCAAAGCTCCCTAGACAGGCAATGTGTAGACCCAACGTGGGCTTACCGCTCTTCCTCATTTTGGACTGGCCTATGCATTTTGTTCCTGTTCCCATTGAGACAACTTCCTTTGTCACTGAGGGGAGAGAAGACGAGTTAATAGTGAGCTTTTAGAATTGGAATAGTCCCCAGGCCTTGGGTTTAATAAGTCTGCACACTCCTCAGCATTCCCATAGGCTGACCCATCTAGGACTGCGGTTCCAGCAAGGCCATTTCCCACTGCTTGAAGTACTGTGCCACCTGGCGGAGAGCAAGGGAACATGTCCAATTGTGTAGAGCTGTGTAGCATTCCACCATCTCTGACAAAAAGAGGGAGAGTTTCAAGGAGAAATGTCTCACCTTGGACCTGTTTGTCAGGGCAGTCACGGGCTTGGCCAGCTACAAGCTGTATCTTCACCACGGCTGCCAGTAACGTCCATTCCCGGTTGGGCTCAGGCTTCCCCTGCTTGGGCAGCCTGCTCCCATAGTGCTCGTAACACAGGCGCGCAATCTCATCTGGGGTCCACATGGCTGAGCTGGTGCTGAGAGCCTGACCAAAAATCACAACCATCCTAAATGCACAAGGCTACACCCTCGCACCAGAATATTTCAACAGGCTTTCCGGTGTAGCTCAACCTGTGTTCACACTGAGGTTTCTTTATCTGAAACCCTACGGGTCATTTTCTCCCACTTCCTTGCCCATTTTCATCTTTAAGGAAAGATCAAAGAAATCCCCAATCCTACCAACCCCAGAAGGCAACTATTTCTTCAAGCTGTTTTTAAAAAATATATATTTTTATTGATTTCAGAAAAGAAGAGAGAGGGGGAGAGATAGAAACATCAATGAGAGAGAATCACTGATTGGCTGCCTCCTGCATGCCCCACACTGGGGATTAAGCCGGCAACCTAGACATGTGCCCTTTACCCGAATCAAACCAGAGACCCTTTGGTTCCTAGGCTAATGCTCTAGCCACTGAGCCAAACCAGTCAGGGCCAAGCTGTTTTTTATCCTCGCTTTCAGGTATTTTATTTTTGTCTCCTTTACCCCCATCCCCCAAATTAGTTCTCTTTTTGAAAAAATATATTTTTATTGATTTCAGAGAAAAAGGGAGAGAAAGAGATAGAAACATCAATGATGAGAGAGAATAATTGATTGGCTGCCTCCTGCACACCCCTCACTGGGGATTGAGCCTCTGACCAGAACTGAACCTGTGACCTTCAGCCTGCAGGATGACACTCTATCTACCAAGACAAACTGGCTAGGGTGCAAATTGGTTCTGTACTTCCCTCCAGTAAATCTCTACTGATGCCCCTCTCAGGAAAGCAACCTAATTTCTCCTATAACGTTTTATGATGCAGAGTGAAGTGACAGAGCCCAGTAGCTTCTCATTAGTCAAGTGTTCTCATAGGAATTGTGAAAAGTGTGGGTTCTAGTCACCATTTCCGGATTCTAATGATAGCTTTGCCTATATTAACCGTGTGGAACTGGGTAGATTGCTTAATCTGTGTCTGTTTCTTCATCCATTAAAATAATATAGTCAAATTTAATCCAAGGGGTTATTGTGAGGATTAAGTATCTATAAAAAGTAACTGCTATAATATTGAGGGTAATTAGTGTCAACTGTAATTAGTATTAGTAAAAAGAACCTTTGATTTTGAGGAAAACCAAATCTGGAGGAACCTTTGGATGTGAAGGGAAGAAGGGCCACATCCTAAACCTGACAAGCTCAGGGAAGGCCTATATGGTAAGCTTTCCAAACTCAGAGACCAAAAGTAACTACATAGGTGACTTGAATATAAAACTTGCTAACAAAAAGCAAGTTATGGTGGGTAGTCATGTCCTAGGCCTGTAGATTCCTTAACAAAGGTCAGTCTTTACCTTAAGTGAACCTATTGTCTTTCCGCATCGAAAAAAACACACTTTTGAAATACCAGAGTGTTCTCCTTTTCCAGACTCCTGAGAGCACAACGACCACCAGAGCAAGAGACCAGAGAAGCCCTCATTGTCATCTTGTTCCCCACATACCACCTTCTATCTACAATCTATAATAATAAAAGGGTAATATGCTAATTAGACCAGATGTCTTCCGGACATCCTTCCTCACGAAGCCAGGGCTGGAGGGAAGCCAGTCCGGGTCCTTGGTGCCTGTGGGTGGCTGGAAGAGGGAAGCAGCCCAGGACTGGGTGCTGGAGAGAAGCCGGTGCTGGCCGGGGGGGGGGGAGAGGAAGGCCTACTTTTGCATGAATTTTCATGCATCAGGCCTCTAGTCTATAATAATAAAAGTGTAACATACTAATTAGACCGGACATCCTTCTGGATCACCTTCTGGATGAAGCCCGGGCTTCGAGGAAAGGCCAGGTCCCGGTGCCTGCTGGTGGCCGGAGGAAAGCCGGGGTCCCGGATGCCAGAGGGAGTGCGGTGCTGGCAGCTGGGTGAAGGAAGGCCTTCTCTTGCAGGAATTTCCTGCATCAGGCCTCTAGTGTGCTATAAATGTTGATGATTGACTATCCTGTATGTACCAATGTAAAACATCTATGTGTTTCTCTCTTGGGCCTTTTTATCCAGTCCCGCAGATGTCCCTGCTGTGCTTTCTCCAGCTCCCTTAATCTACATGGGTTTCATGTATCCCTCCTACGCCTCCTTTTATTCTAATACATAAAATAAGTTGCAAAACTGCCATTCTCTAAAGTATTTTCTCAGTCCATCAAGATTCTGCTTCCTGGCATTTGTCAGTTTGGTTCAAATACACACATAAAATTATAGGTTTGGACCGTTCTTACCTCTACAAAGCTTATATCGAAATACTAAGGACAACCAATCACAGCCAATTAGGGTTTAAGCTATAGCCAATCAAATAATTTCCCTTCTTGCTTATGCACTTTCTCTTTCTCCTAGCTCCTTTCTCCAGAGTGCTCCAAACCACTTCCGGTTAATATTGCTCAAATAAACTTTTAAAATCATTTCACATGCCTATCTACTTAGCAGTTCAGATGTGCGGGCCTGTTACTGCAATAATTGGTCATAGAAAATCAGATCAGAGTGATTTAAAAACAAGAACCTGGCAGAAACATATAATTGTGACTTTAAAGTCAGAAAACCAACATTAAGTCTTGCATCTACTGGAGCAAAAGAAAAGTATGGGAGACCCTAAAACCTTCCATTTGGATTTCCCTCTCATTTCTAGGGGGAAGGGATGCGGCTGCTATCACAGGGCAATATATTTTATGAAGGCAGATACTCAGAGAAACAGCCTGCAATTAAACCGGAGATACAACACACCAAGAGCTACTAACAGCAAGGAAGGCAGAACTTGCTGTAAGAAGCATTGATGCCTAAGATGAAGCAGCCCAGAACGGTCTATCACCTCTTTAACCTATGTGAGTCTGGATGAGCCTGCACAACAGATGAAGAAATGTATGTATATATGTATGTATGTGTGTGTATATATATATATATATATATATATATATATATATATATATATATATATACTGGGTCCACTAAAATTCAAACCCACTCTCTCCCAGATCTTGAACAGCTTCTTCCTGTGCAACAATATAACTCAGTTAAACAGGTTATTATTATTATTATTTTTTGGCCCGCAAGACCAAGACCGCTTGCTATGACAGTTGCAAAGAGCTCATGAACACGCTACCTTTTGAAGTAAAAGTTAAGGCAGGTCGGCTGCCAGCGGAGTGAAGGGTTTGGCGACGTGGGAAGGACGGTGAGCCACTCCCCCCATAAACTCGGCAGCGGACCCTCCTCTCCAGAGGCCTGGGCTGGGGCCCATTAGTCCAGTTACCCCCGACACCCAAGGTGACAAGGGGGTCCCCAGACACGGGAAGCAGGGATGGCGGGCGGGCCTACCTCCGCGGGTTATGGTTATGCGGGGCACAATCCCCGCGCCCGCCCGCAGCCGGAGCTCGGACACGCGGCGCCCACGGGCACTGCCGAGCCAGGAGCAGCACTTTTTGCCACGTTAGCGCGCACCGGGGGTGGCACGGTCCTCACCTCTTCCCACACAATATGGCCTCGGAGAAGCCGGGCCGAGGGCACCTCCCCGGGAGGCCAAGATCCCCAGCTCGTTCGCGTGCCCGCGGTGGAGGAAACCCACCGTCTCACCGCCGCTCCCCGCCCCCCTTCAAGACACGCGCCCTCGAGGGAACGAGCGGAACCGCGCAGCGTCAGGAACTGACGCCACAAAGAGGCTGTTCTCCCAAGCCCCGCCCCCACGCAGGGAATGCTGGCTCTTGTAGTGGAGCCAGTGCTTACAGTCCAGTGCCTTAACTTTTACTTCAAAAGGTAGCGTGTTCATGAGCTCTTTGCAACTGTCTTGGGCGTGGAGCCAGTGCTTACAGTCCAGTGGCTTGTGGAAGCTGACTCCGGGGTAAGGCATGGTTCAAAGAATAGTAGAATGATATCATGTCTTGGAACACTAGCCTGAATTTCTGTCTAAAACAGCAATGTCCAATAGGAATATAATTTGAGCTAGATAAGTAATATAAAAGTTTCTAATAGACGTATTTTAAAAAGTCAAACTAAATAGGTGAAACTAATTTTAAACATATCTTATTTTACCCAGTTAACATCCTGAGAAAAAAGTTGACATTCCGAAGGTAAAAGAGTGATGAGGCAGGAATAGAGACAAATGGTTTATTTGGTAACAAGAAGTAAAAGAGGAATTCCTACTCCCTTTTCTCTCTCTGGTTACTGAACTGCAATAGTCAAGTGGATAGCAACATACAAGAATTCCCTTGCAGTCCTTGATTTTCTGCAATAGTGCAAAGATGCCTGAGTTCTGTGACTTGCAATTACTATGTTCTAGACAGAACTGCCAACTGTTGTGCCTTCCACTGTATCAGCAGTTACATTTTCCTTCTTGTCTTCAGGTTTCATGGCAGGAAACAGAAGTACTTCCTATAGGAGATAAAATGCATTTCGAAGCTAAGAAACACCCCCCTCCCCCCCAAGCTCTCCACCCATTCCTTTTGCCTCTGGTTATTGTTACAACCAAAACCCAGAATCCCTACTTCCCAGTTGAAAAGACAGATGTGTTCTTTAATTCAACTCAGTTCCTTTCCATTACAGAGGACAGAAAAGAATACAAACATGCGCAGCACTGCCCAGGGCACAGTGTCAAGGGAATCAATAAACGTGGGAGCTCTCTGAAAGTTTGATTTCCTCATCTATAAAAATGGACTAACAAGTTTCTACACCGCAAAGGGCTGACTTAAGTTAAATGAGATAACGCATTGCATGTTTCTTGGATCCTAAAGAAATGCAGCAATTAGTATTCCTTCTGCCTCAAATCCTGTAAGGTTAGATGCTCTGATCTGCCCATGGTGCTACATATAACTCCTGTACCCGCTCCTCCCTCCAGCCCAAAGCGCACTCATTCTCCAGGCCCACCACGCCCAGGTCTGACCCAGGGGAACGCTTCAGGGTGATGTGCACACGGAGGGCTGCTGTACCTTGATGTTATTGGAGTCCGTGAGAAACATGGTGACTCGATCAATGCCCATGCCCCAGCCAGCTGTGGGGGGCAGCCCGTACTCCAGGGCAGTGCAGAAGTTTTCATCTATGAACATGGCCTCGTCATCGCCAGCGGCCTTGGCCTAGAAGAGAAAAGAACCACACAGGGGCACTGTTCTGGGCTGCATCATCTCTCGGTATCTGAGCCAGCATGTTAGGACACTCAGGATGACCATTCTAGGGATGCTCTGGACACCCAGCAGCATGGGGTTTCCTAGTAACTCAGGATGGAGCCTGGAGGTCAGAACTGATGAAATCTACCTCAGAACACACGCAAATTTCTGTTTTCATTTCAGAACACATGAAATGAAAACAGCTCCACTGCTTGGGGGTCTGCAAGCCCAGTGAGACAGGTTTTCAGAGACTCTGATGATTCCCAAGAGTCCTCCTCTCATTTCCTAAAACTGCCTGTCTGTCGGTGGCAATGTTTGTGCAGGCAGCCTGCGAAGGCTTTGTCTGCATTAATCTTTATCTGCCTCTCACCCCCCGTTACTTCAATAAATGTGCCATCTGAGAAAAATCACATTCTTGTTAGGCAAATGTATTTTTAAGACAAGCATCACAATCCCTACAGAGATAACTATGCCTAAAGCTCCTCATATGTAGAAATTCTAGGGCCCAACTAGTCAAGTTCTCCATCTTAAAATGTGAGCTCCTCTAGTGAAGCTTTATCCTTCATTTCTGCTGAAGCCACCAAGAGATGCAAACAATGACACAGAGCGGGGTTCAAGCTGATTTCCTGGTGATGAAATATATGCCTCTTCTCCCTCTCTTCCCTTACCTTGGCCTGATCTTCGAAAAGCTGCCGTTGCTTCATGGGATCATTCAGCTCGGTATAGGCATTGCATATTTCCTTCTTCATGACAAAAAGCTCAAAGCGCTCAGTCAGACCCTCTTTAGAGCGGTGCCTGGGGACAAGAGACCAAAGGGGAGGTTCACTAATAATCTACCAAGTGGTACAAACAGGAGTTCCTGAATTCCAGTCAACTCAAAAGTTCCTGAAGCCTGCCCGCATTCTCAGCACCAAATCATTTGGTACAATAGTGAGGATGGTTAAACAGGAGGCAAGAAAGCTCTATCTTCCCAACAAACCTGTGTGGTAGACTGCCACTGAACCACACTTCCTATAGTCCCTGTCGCATGGATTCTGGGCTGCCCATGTGACTTGCTTGGTCAATGGGACAACAGCAGAGGCTCGGTATGTGTTTGCACGCTGGGTTTATCCTTGGAGAGTGCTTCGTTTTAGAACCCCGCTGCCAAATAAGAGTCCAGGCTACACTGTCAGAGAGGTGCCCGTGGAGAAGCAAGGTGGCCTGGCAGAGTTCCCAGTTGAAAAACGCCACCTGAGTTGCCCTAGCCAGTGTGGCTTAGTGGATAGAGCATCAGCCTACGGACTCAAGGGTCCCAGGTTCGGTTCCGGTCTAGGGCATGTACTTTGGTTGCAGGCACATCCCCAGTGGGGGTCGTGCAGGAGGCAGCAGATCGATGTTTCTCTCTCATCGAAGTTTCGTTATAACGCTCTATGCTTCTCCCTTCCCGTCTGTAAAAAATCAATAAAATTGAAAAAAAAGAAAAAAAAAAGAAAAAGAAAAAAAGCCACCTGAGTTGCCCTAGCCAACACCACGTAGAACAGAGAGATTACCAATGAACTCATGAAATGTTGAGAATTAATAAGCTATTTTATGCTATTAAGTTCTGGGGATGTTAGGAAGGAACAGGTTACTGACACATGCTGTATTTCTTACCATTTTGCCAAAGGGCTCATTATCTGAGGGTGGTCACAGATGAATGTAGGATTGATGCATGTCACTTCCAGGAACTCCCCAACGAGCTTAGTGAGAAAGAAAAGCAGGGCTAGAGATCCTTTCTGAATGGCATTTTGATGGTCCAGGCTAGGTGGAAGGGATCAGTCTCCACCCACACCAACTCTTCAAGGGCCAAGGATTAACTAAGATACCACCCATAACTATTTTGCAGAATTTAATATAACAAGATTTGTTAATTCTCTTATATCTAGTTCACCTCCATAAGGAACAAGGGGCTGGCTACCACAGGATGTACTAACGTGCATGGCCTTTTACCTTATCTAGGAGCCTGGCTGTAGTCCGAGGTGGAGGGCATTCAACACCTTTTGTCACACAGATATCATCAAGAATTTTACGAGTTTCTGTAATACAAATGTACGAGTTAGGACTGAAACATCACGCTACCCCAGTAAGAAGGTATATAAAGTGGGACATGATAGCCCCAACATTATCGAATTCAGAGCTAAACAGAAACGAGGGGCATACAATGGAGGAGTGCATCACTTTACCTTCAGTTTCGAAGAGGTTCGTTTCTGGCAGCTTCACGCCCAAGGCTTTCTCAAGCTCTTCTACCATGCTGATTTTCCGAAACGGTGGGGTGAAGTCAATCTCGTAGGCTTGGCCCTCTGGGCCATCTGGATGGTAGGTGACCTTATAACTGCCTGTAATGTGCTTTACCATCCCTAGGGGAAAAAATACCATTTAAAGAGGACCAATGGGAAGTCATCCTGAAAGCAGACTGATGTGAAAGACAAAGCAAGCGGGAGGGGTCACCTGAAATCATCTTCTCTGTGATTTCCATGAGATCTCGATAGTCCGCATAGGCCATGTAGAACTCACAGGTGGTGAACTCAGGATTGTGAGTCATGTCAATCCCTTCATTCCGGAACTGGCGTCCAATTTCATAAACCCGGTCAATGCCACCAACCACCAGCATCTAACAATAACATATATGACGTGGTCATGGCGGCTAATCTTGTCTTAATGATTAGAAAGTTTCAGCCTATAAAAGCTGTATCTTGGTTTTTACAGCTCAGGCGTGATCTCAGGCCCCTACCTGAATGCCAAGCACCCTACTCTCTTTAGGTCTTTGTACTCTCTTTAGTGGATAGTCATCACTAATTATTTTGGCTGCCAGGACCTCTGAATCCCGTTCCTTTGTCTAGTTGTCCCCCATATCTCATGAGTGTGAACCTCCCCAAGAAAGAAGCCTCTCTTGGGGTTAAGATGCAGACACACGACCACAGCTCCGCACCAATCAGACACAACTGTGAGGCTTCAACTAGGAAGCTACTAAAAGAAGATGTAGGTATTGCATGGAATTCCTTCTGGCCAAGGGCGCCAGAGAGATCTAGCTTTTAAAAGTAGTAACTGCAGAGGGTCCTAGGAGCAGTGACCTGTGCCTACTGCCAGGGTTATGACCTTACAGGTTTCCCAGGGGATAACCTTACAGCAGATTCAGAAACCTCAGCATGTGGTTTCCCAGCCTGATTTTTTGATTCTCCTAAAAACTGTGAGCATCCCCATATATTTTAATACATTTTTCTTTTGCTTAAACTAGTTGTAAGAGATTTTGTCTGCAACTAAAAATCTTGAATGATAAGTCTTCAATATTTACTTTGGTGATTTGAAGATAGTTATTTCAAACTTCTAGAGAGAGATTAAGTTCTCTTTTCTTCAAAACACTAAAATCAGACCTAATTCAAGGAGAACTATAAATTATAATGGAAACCAAAGTAGGGGAGGAAGACCTGTAAACTTAGGAAAGATTTGCGCTCTAACCTGTAATGTTCTACTGATCTCGTAGAGAAGTTCT